GATTACAGTCTCTTGTGCTCTGATTGGTCGCATAAGAAACAATGTCAGCGATCTCATTGGTGCAAAGACAACAAAGGGAAAGGAATGTTGTTCGAATGTGAGCAGCCGTTTGTGGGGAGAAGCGTTGCGTGACGAGACTAAAAACGGCTGAGAGGGAGACTATGGGGGCCACAGTTACATCATCAACTCATAATTACATCATAAAAGCATAATTACCTTGTTATACCGTCTCTGACCGACGCAGCACCTCAGTTTCTTTAGAAACTTACCCCCTTCATTCCTACGTACAGATTAGGTTCGACTACAAACCGAGTTATTCTTCAGTGTATCGCGCAAAACCACATTGTTAATGTTAAAAATATCACTAATTGTCCTGTTAGAACACAGTTCATTTACCTTTATTTACGTTACTCTCTATTGAGCTAAATATTTTCAATCTTAACGTTCCGCCACTTTTTCACCAACAATATTCATGAATTTCTTCCACAGCGCAGCCTTCTTTACAACATTCTTCAACAATGTCTGTATGAGCGGTATATCTTGGCGTCCGGGACTTGCCAAGAAAACTCAACGCTTCCTTTTCTTTCAATGCCGTTGACCCTAAGAAACACAAATTTAACAAAAAATGAATATCAGCATTTCTCAGTTCTGCCACTCACCACCACTGAGATCCTAAGTACAGAGTTTCTCGGGCTCATCTGAAAGTTTCTCAATCTATTTTAGGTGGACTGCAAAATTGAATAATGCATTAAACACTTATTTGAACTCAAAATACGTTAGTGAACATTTCACGCAACATCATAATCTACCTTTTATACCTGACTCATCCTAAAATTTCCAACACTTTCATTGTCCAATAGCAAGTAAAACAAGTAACGTTTTAAGGGGGGTAAGTTCCTAAAGAAACCGTGATACTGCGTCGGTGGGGAGGTATAACTAGGTAATTTTGGTTTTATCAACTCAAGCGATAACGTAAGTTGGCTACCGTAAAGAGTTTCAAAGCCGACGCTTCGAGCGTTAGCTTGCCCAAAAAAAATCGATCGACAGTCAGCACTTCAAACGTCGCATAAGGAAAATACCGACCGCATTACATTCACTTTTACATTTTATCCCCACGACCATGCCGTTAAATCCATCATTCTTAAAAACTTTAAATTCAAAATGATTCAGAGACCAGTACTATTTTTTGCAACCTCAACTTCTTTCATTCAAACGAGACAAAAACAAAGGCAACTTTTTGGTCAGAAATCAGTACAAACCCCACCAAAGGGGGTTTGTTTAAATCCAGGGCTGCAAGATGGCTTACAAATGTAATCTCCGCGGCGGTGTCGGTGCAAAAAAAAAAAAAAGCATAAAAGCCATAAACTTACTTTGTTCTCTTTTTCCTCCTTTTCCTCTTATACACACAAAATCATACGCCAGGTTGATGTGGGGGCCACAAAAATGTCCAAGAATTCGACGAGATCCTACCTCGCGCGATTTATATGGCTTATATCCTGTCAAAATAGAATGATGTCGAGGAAAAAGCAAATAAAGAATCCTTGTACTGGTTTGAGTAACCACGTAATCTTCTAAGTGTATCTCCAGTAATCTTCTAAAATGAATAAGTGTTATAAATCAAGGGGCATTATTTCTGAGATAATATTACCTAAACCGAGCCCTTGAAAACAACAGTGGATCAGTGATTGTGGAAAAATATAACCCAGCGCTCACATGAATGAATGAAAAATATCTCCAATTCTCTACGGTAGAGTGTCGTGATTATAAAGAGCACCGAAGAAGTAGACATTGCAACCGAGCTGCAACTTTTTAACGCGTGTTTCTCATCTGCTTCAGATAGATGTTGGGTTAGATTTTTCCACAATGACTGATTCACTGCTGTTTGCAAGGGTTCTGTTTGGATAATATTATCTCAGAAATAATGCCCCTCGATTTATAACACTTATTCACGTTACACATTGCAATAGCATTTTGAAGATCAAGAATCGCAGGAATTTTTCTGTGAATCGCGAAACGGCCACATGTGTACCTTAATTTTTCTTTCATGGCGTTTGAAACGAGGCCTCCTATGAAGGTTGCGTAGCCAGTGGGTAACCGTAACAAATAGTTGTCATGGGCCTTGGCCCTTTACTCAACTCAATTGTAATTCATACTTTTTTTCGATGTGGAAAGCTCAAAAGTGGGCACGGTGGTCGGTGTAAAAAGAAATAAAAACAGAACCTTACAAAAGGCAAATACATGTGTTTATAATTGTTTTCGTAAAATGGCTGTTTCATTTTACGAAAACTGTGGAATGACTTCTTTATGTGTTCCTGATCTGGAATCCTCTTTTTTACTAACCTGTTCCTAGAGCTAGAGAGGAAAAATTTTCATTTTTTCTTTCTTTTATGTATTAAGTTTGTTACTTTTGGTTTGATCACATGTACAAGCTGGGGTAGCTTTCCTTACCTGAAACGTTTCCAATACACAACAGAAAAGTTAAGAGTGCAGTAGTGCGCCAAAAATGTAAATTCTTCATCTGGAACCGAAACAAGCAAAATTCACGTATATACAGTTTCCTCAGTGACAAGGTAACTTAAATGAATCACTAGCCACGGATTAATGTTTACAGCAACATTAAAGCAACATCTAGGCGAATGAACATTTGGAACTTCAGATTTGTGATGCAAAAACAAAATCGAGTATACGTAAGAAATAGCACATGGTCGTAATGGAAAACTTACGCACTCAAGACAATCTCTCTGTGAATTATCTTATTTACAAGTCGATGTATTATAGAAACATGGCTTTCTGACTAGGTACCTGGTTTTTACGCCAACTGAAATGATATCGATATTATTTTTAAACATCATAATTAAAAATTTGAAGGTTTAAAGCTCAGTTTGTTGTAAGACTTCCAATACCTTACCTTCTGAATTTGAGAGAGGGCTTCTTCCAAAATATATTTATCACGGATATAATGGAAGTTACCTTGACCAAGGTCTATTGCTGTGAAGTTGTGACAAAAATTTCAACGACGAAAAACGGTAGCCGGAGGTAAGGAATCTACGAATTCAGACAGGAGATATAAAACATACCAACCTTCGTTTCTCGTCACAATTTATGATTTGTTCAGTTGCATAATGGATAATATATACGAGCAAGTTGGGTCTTGAGATATCTTAATTAAGGGCTTTTGACACGGAATTTTCAAAATGGTGATATTAGAACCGATTTATTTACATTGCTGCAGCTTTTTTTAAAACATGATTTTTAAACAAGAGCCTACCGATGGCACCTTGGTGATGTTGTATTTGAAAACCTTTAATGCCTGTTCTGTACCCGAGCAATTTTCTCATGACAGAATTTGCTCATGATGAGAAAACATGACTACCCCAAATTTCGTTGCTAACGATGACTTGTTTTAAGATGGCAATAAGAAAAAAAAAGACTCCTACGCCACCCTCTTAACCCACATGTTTGTTAGCCTAACCAATTAAACCAGTAGATGCCTTTTCCGCATGCTTATTTCTACTTATTGTTTGGTTCCAAAGTAAATTGAAAGTGCTGCATGAGATCTCTTCCCATAAAAAAGGAAACTGGCGGATATAGCCGTCGTGTGCAACTTACGCTACGTGAAACAAGTAACGGTCTGATAAGGACATCAGATCCTAACATTACGAAGCAGTCACGAACGATCCTTATCCAGATGTTTCGTTTCTCTGAATATCGAATGATGAAGTGTGGTTCAAGACAACAGTTTACCATTCGCCTAAATGGTGCATTCATTAGCAAAACAGAATAAGATAATCCAAGTCTGAAGATATTCCAAATACACTCAGTCCCATGATCAAAATGATCAAGAAGATCACTTTTTTGTGCTTATGTTCGTAACCATAAAATCCTTTCAGTTTTTTTTTTTTTGTCGTACTATTTGAGCTTCTGTCATTTTTCTTTTTGAGGCAAATAGTTGATTTTATAAATTAGATTGTCCTGTCATCATTGTGTCATCTTTTTAGAGTGTTATTAATAATATCTGGATTTCATAATTTTTCCCCAGCTCATTTCATCATATCATTTCAACGTCATAATATTTTTCTCTTTTTTGTGTTTACAAATGTGATGTTTACTCGAACTAGTTTTCGTTGCCCCTCAAGCCGTTCACAAGATAAGTTGGCCCATCTTCAACCTACCTCGGCGTGACAGGTTAAAACAAAGGATGTTTTATTCCCAAACGTTGAGTTGTTTAGGAAGAAGCCTAAATACTTTTTTGTCTTTTTAGCCTTTCACAAATTTGTCAGCCCAGTTCAGATTAATCCTGATTAAGGATTCATTAAACTTCACTGCACTGCATCTTTATAAAGCTTCTTCTTCAGAAAGTACCATTTTCACACGACTAGCCGATTGAAAATACTTGAGAATAACAGATTTACCGTAAACAGAGTAACACCAATTATTATCCAATTACACTCCGTAGAGTACAAATAACGCCCAAGATGAGCACAAATATCACGCGGTATTTGTACCCCGAGAACCAGTTAGACAGGTGTTTTCGCATCTCGCAAGCGACGAATATTGGATTGAAGTTACAAAAGAAACGGCTGACAATTTAAATCATTTTTAAGACGACGAAGAAGCGGAATGGCTTGCGAATATTGATCCAAGTTTATAAGACAAATCGAACGAAGAAAAGCAGTTAGACGACAGTGAAATCTCATCATTAATTGAAGAAAATGGAAACGGCAACACGACAACGCGCCAGTTCCGCTGCGCTTCGTATACTTCTGTCACGCACTTCCCGTAAATAAGTATCCGCGAAATTCGCCCGCACTGAAATAACAATGTCATGTTTAGTTTTTCATTTCCTATCATTTGTTCTAAACACCCGATTACTCGATGTTCCGATAACTCGAACCCTTTCAATTGCCCTTGAAGTTTTGAGTTATCGGAAGTGGACTGCATCCATAGGGCAGCATAACGACGGTGGTCAAAGTATGTTTGGACTACATGCCGTGGTGGCATTAAGTTTCTACATTAGTTGTATAAAGTAAAGACGATGCACAATGATATCAAAAATTTTTTTAAATTTTTAGTCGTAGAAGCAATCTCTCTTACGTTGATAGCTGGCAATTGTAGGAATTTTCTCTCACTTCATGTCAATGGCTCTAGATCGAATGATTACGCAGGGTAAGTTGGTTTACTGTAATGGGAGCTGGGAGCGTCTGGAGCCCTGTTAGTTGTATATTTCGAGCTTCATCGTAATTACGACAAGTACATGCTTTTCCTCATAATTTGTCCAATGTGGCGACAACTTTGTGGCATATGGTGAAATGTACTATACCGATACAAAGTATAGTGTGGAAGTTAAATTACATGGATACATTATGTCCACATACATACCGAGCCTCCTGCGTCACGTACGGAAGTGAATTTTTCAAGTAACTAAGTGTACCTCATTAAAAGGTGTTGAATTACAATAACAAAGCAAATTCGCAGAACGTCACACATCTGGCTTTTTAGTATTTCCGCTAGTTATCTAACTTTTTTCGATTTTCAAAACGTTTTAGGAAATTTGAAGCCTAATCTCCTGAATCTCTATTTTAATATAGTATCAGTAAGCCAAGAAAAAACCCTGAACATCTTCGTGAAACACGAAAATGTCAAACATTCAGCTGTTAACTTCTCCTGATATTTAGTTTTGAATGAGTTCATTTCAGATGGTAAATAACGTGTAATTTTACTCAGTCCTCAATGGGGAATCCCTCTTTTTAGCCAATGACGCACTTTCAGTTATGATAAGGTGGTGTGAGTCACGAGATTTGGTAAATCAGATTGATTTATTTCTGGAGGTATTTTCGCTCTCGGGGAGAGCTGTTTTGAAAAGCCCCAGTCATAAATTGATTTATGATGATACACATTTAGCTGACTTGAAACGCTGCTGAATCACATGATAAAGAATGAGGAATCTCCTTTCACACACGGGACATCATTAACCTGTTAATGTAATCAGTCGACAAATTTTTTTTGCCCCAATAGCAATAGAGAAGTGAAAATTTTGAGTTCGATCGTAAATTGAAGAAAACTATAAAAACTCCTTGAGGAATTGAACCCCAGTCCTTCAGTTTTCGCGCTCCGATGCCCCAACATTGAACTCCTAAATGAGGCAAGGTAAAGCCTGTTTACAAACCAAGTGGCCCATCGGGCCGGCGCTTAACTCCGGTTTCCGTAGCATGAAGCGACTAGGAGTATTTCTGCTCCCCCTGGATGAAATGCTGGTCCATCGCAGGGTTACCCCCAGCATTAAATTTGCCAGTAACCATTTTATTCTCCTGGGTGAAGAGTGGCGCTGTGAGAGTAAAACGTCTTGCCCAAGAACACAGCACAAGGTCCCCTTCTATCTAGCCATACCACTGATATTGACACTGATCGATGCCTTGGAAAAGATTCAAAGCCAACAACCAAGATAGGTCTTGAAAAAATGAAATTCATGTTTTTTTTTTTTTGGTTCTGGAAGGCCATTAATTGAGTTCATCGAAGCTACAGATACTTTTCGGCGCAGCTCTAACACAACTTTCACCCGAAAATGGCCAATTATCGCAGAACACATTAATGACACTACTTATCCAAAGCAAAAGTTTCATTATGGTGCATAAATGATATTTTTTTCTTAAAAAAAAAAACCAATTGATGAAAACACTGATTAAAGTTCCATCCTTACAACGTCGAACATGATCCTGGATCAATATATAGAAAATGAATAACTGAGCGATTAGTTAATGTCTGAACATTCCTTTTCGGTCCTCAAAATTAGCCAATTAAGGCATTTTTAATAAACTTTTGAGTGTTTTTACTTTGACTGCTCGGCTGAAACCAGTTTCAGCGCCGGAACGTAAGTCAACATTACCCCTGTATAGCAGACTTAAAAAAAATCCTTTTCTTATCTCGAAATGAAACAATGCTAATTGACTTGTCGCCTTCAACTAAAGGACACGAAGAACGAAATTAGATAATTACCCCAGAAAAGAAAAATAAGGAGACAATCAAGAAAAAGAGGAAAAAGCAACAAAACTAACCGATCTCTACTCAGACATAAACAAACAGAAAAAAAGAGAGGTGTACGCTGTTAGACTTGTATTGAATAATATTTATCAAAGTCGTTTTAGGCATGCTCTGCCAAAGGGTTTACTGTCTTCAGATGTCATGAATTCCTTCAATGTATCGTCAACAGCCATTAATCAGGTAATCCCCATTTAAATATCCTCATACTTTTAGTCTACGGTTGCATTCTATGACCTATAACAACCCGGAAAAATACTGGAATAAGAGGAACGTAAACTGGATTTGGAGAGACGCCCGCTAACCGGAAAAGTTTTTTTGGATCCATTTACACAATTTAAATCCCGAAATCGCCTGTGATTTTTAATTTCTGAGTAAACGACTACTATTACTAAAGTAGCTATTACTAAAGGGAAATTCGCGTTCCGAACAACATTGAACATACGCAAAAAGAGACGAGTAAGAAATGCCGAAAATAGCAAATGTAAAAGTAACATTTTTGATCACAGGAAAAAATGATAGGCGAAGGGGAATGTACACAATTTTAATCAAAGTAAACAAGGTTTTAAGGTGCAAATTACCTTTGGGACGGTTCAGGGGATTAAATTTCGAAAACGAAAAGAGAAAAATTAACATTACATTAGATCTAAATTTAGGGGAGAAATATTTCTTTTTGGGCCACAGTATATAAAAGCCTTATCATCAGCTAAGTACAGAAGAAAAACCATCGCATGAAGGTCATACCCAAGGTACAAACAAAGAGACTTTTTCTTGGAGAAAGACACAGCATCATAAGAGGAGCAAAGGAATGGAAAAAATTACTCTTAAGGTCGGTTGGTCATTAAGAGAAGGTTACTTCGATGTTTTCGGTGTTTTCTGTTTGGATTCTGTAAATAATGACAATTTGTCAATTCCAGTAATCAGTCCTTCTTTATACAAGAATAGTAACAAAATTTCTCGTGGCTTGAGAATAAAACCAGTTCTTGACGACCTTCGCAGCATCGACTGAGCGTAGAACTTTCTGATCTTTGCGGGAAAAAAAAATTACTATTTCGACAACAGTTCTACTTCGGCAACATTAATTAGACGGCGTCAATTAAAAACAGATTATGTTTCTCAACTTATTTGGACTATTTTAAATGTGTATCTGACCTCGAGGAAACCGTTGAGTTGATCTGTCAACGGATAAAACTTCTTAAGTGCCATGGATATCAACACATGGTCAATAAAGAGATAAAAAGATAAATATCAAAAGCAATATATGACGTCACCACCTTACTCTACCTTTACCTCCAAGACTGTGTAGGAATATTGATCACAGTCTAGACAGTATATATTTCTCAGCGTTGCTGAAGGATTGCATTGAGCTTTGAGAACACTTGACATCGTAATTTGGCTAGGTCAATGTGTTTAAACCTTTTGCGATGCTTCGTCTATAATTTTAATAACGAAAAAACTATGTGTGGAAATATGAGAATGTTTATACAATAACCTCGTGGTTTTTTCTTACAGGTTGCTGTCTACTTCTTGGTACATAATTTTACTTTTTCTGGAGTGCGTTCAAGGTCTGTTCACGTCGAGCAGACATCTCAAAGACGAACATACAGCAATGTTTTGATTGGACCCTCGAATCAAAATATATCCGAAGATTTAAAAGTTAATTTAACGACAGAATCAATTCCCGGCGAAGCCAGTAATGGTCACACCAACTTTACCTCAGTACTGCAACTGCGACACAAACGTAATTGGCTTTCTTGCGTGGATAGTCAAAGACTTGAGTGGAACAACTGCTTAGGCAGGTACTTCAACAAAATTAAATGCAAACTTCTGAGTGTCGCATGTTTGTCGGCGAATAATGTCCCACCTAAGTGTATTGAACATTCCATGGTACTTCCCGGTAGGAATGGCAGACGTTGTAAGGTACTTAAGAGCTGCTCATGCGCAGCCTAACATCATGGAAAGTACAAAGTTGTGGCTATAAATATTATTTGACGTTCGTTTTATCCGTGTTGCCGCCCAAGGACACAGAACACATTTGTTCGTGCGACGTTTGAGAAAGGCTTGTACGACTTTTAATAAGACTTCTCTAAGCAGGTTTCTCAGTTAAGATTTTATTTTGCTGGATTAAGCAAAAATCGGAATTCTAGAAAGCAATTGGCCTTTTGCTTACTGATATATTTAATAATATAAATTTGACTGGGATTAGTTGTAGCCAGCTCAACAAGGTCTGGTTACTGAATATTTGATGATGTAGTATTGATAGGTGACGTAAAGTAAAAACAAACACTTTTAAAACAAATGAAGTATCAATTTTTGATGGCTTTCGTAACTGAACTCGAAAACAACATCCTTCACCTTAAAACCAACAAAAAAGCCAGCGGATGTCAAAGATTTGAGACGGAGGCAAAACAATATTTCTTTTTTTCGCACCGAAATCGACGCCTCCTATGATCTATTGCAGGAGAAAAAAATCCCCAGGCCGAAATGGGATCTTTTTTATTTACACATTAAAATCGTTCACAACTTTTTCAAGTGGAATTTTGATCAGACAAACAAACTGTACGAAAATTTTAGGTTTAATTGAATTTCAATTTTCTCGTGACATCGAAAATGGAAATACTGGCTTGAAATATGTAGTGGAACCTCGATTTAACGAAGTGCCAAGGGACTGGGGAAGTTGGTTCGTTTTATCGAGGGTTCGTTATACCGAGGTTCTGTGGCATACATTTCACTGTAACTTTAGCCGGGCTGAAACTGAAGTATCGTTCGTTATACCGCGGAATCCGTTATACAGAGGTTCGTTAAATCGAGGTTCCACTGTATAAAGGAAGTAATTATGCCTGTTTCACTGATCAGGTACCGTACCCTCTCTCTTTTAGACCCAGTTACAAAGATTTTTTGCTTGCGCCCTAAACAATCACACTATTATTTCTCTCCCTAAAATGAAGCAAGTGTGATTCCATATTTGGTACCAATCAGGAGCCCATTACCCGGAGCTTCCATCTCAGTTGTACCCTTGAGTCAACCCTGTCCCGTATCTTTTTATTTTTAGAACTGAGATATCTGCGGGGGTTCTTTAATCTTTCCGCGCTCTCCGCCATTATTGAAATAATTTCGTGCGGCCTGCAATTGACACAATAGAGACGTAACACAATAGAGACGACAGCTCTCTTATGATTGGCTATTAGAAAAACACCCGCGAAAACCGCGGTGGGAGGTGCTTCTAAAAATAGAAAGATACGGGACAGGGTTGGCTCAGAGGGTCAGTATGGAAGATGGAAGCTCCGGGTAATGGGCTCCTGGTACCATTTGCATTTGCAGTCTGTGACATACGTATTTCCGCATTCATACTTTCGCACTTCTTTACAATCTGGCGAAGATCCGGACCCGCTGTCGCAACTCCAACTTGTGTCCCTACGAGTGACTGTTATTATTATAAGATTTCCACCACAGGTCTTTTCTGCTACTTGAGAGTTTTTTTACGACGCAGGAATGAATATCACGAGTGAATCGCTTGTGGAATAAACTTAAACTGTTCTTCCTGCTTCCGTTATGACGAAACGCATTTCCGCCGTTCTTGGATTGCGTTAACATTCTGATCACCGTGACGATAGGCGAAGTCTTCATTCTGCTGAGCGAGGCCATCAAACCGAAAGGGAGCATTTCTTACCATTTGAATGAGAAGTAAGGAAAATAAGGTGATAGTAGATGACATCTGCCTATAAAAAAGAACAGAACAGTAGACAACTATTTGAGGCGGCTCAAAATTGTTACGTTAACTCAGTCGGGTGGCCAACCTACATCGTCAACTCGGTTGATAAAACCGAATTAGCCTATTCATTAATCTTAGATTGCTTTAATTTTGATCAAGTGAAAAACGGAAATATATTATTCTACATCATGACCTATTTACGCATTTTTCTTTGACCAATCAGAAACGAAATATCTTGTTGCCTATGTAACGATCTGTTTCTAAAGCTATCCTCTCTTACGCTTCCTGGGAGAACATAGAGGGCTAATATTTTTCAACATAAGAACTGCGTTTTTAAGATGTAAGGCTTGATACACAAATTTCATTTGCTGAGGTGCCTAATCTTAGTAGATATATGTCACCTATTAGCTTTCAAACCCTTTGTAAAAAATTAAACCATTTCAAGAAAGAAAATGCCAAAATAGAATTACCCACCTTAACACGATAGGCCATCCCTTCACCAGAAAAGCCCTTCAGAATGGGGATTTTTCATTGTTGTTCTCAGCTCTTCGTTCCCCTTACATACGTTTTCATTCTCAAAATCCGGTCGACTCAGCCTTTTGAGGAATATTTTTTTTAGCGATTGAAGGAAATTCACCAGTGTTCCTTTCATTAAAACTTCCTCATATGCCTAAAACACTTCCAAATTGGTTAAATAATTTAAATGTATTTCACTTGGGAGTAAGGCAACTTACTGTGATCACAAACGATTAAATATTCATTGCATTTTCTTCGAAATAACCATGGTGAGCTCCTGGCATTGACATTTAAGTTATTATGAGGAGAGGTCTTGATTTTAAAAAATATTAGTCTTTAATCTCGTTCTTCAAGACAATGAACGCGAGTTCAGTGTTATTTAACTACAAATAAACTTAACCGATGCAATACGAAACTGGCTCTCTAATTTGTTACTAGGAGGAAGGCAAAGTTCTTTTTGTTCAGGTATCACTGATTTATTTTCCATTTACGCCTGATAAAAACGATTTCAACTATATCCTTTTTTTCCTTCTAGCGCAGGAAAAAAAACACCTCAACTTTCTCTTCATTACATGGCTTGTTTCTATTAGACATTTGTGTAATTTCGACAAGACTAGACAAGACAACTTCATTTAGCCAGGGTGGCCCAGTCAGCTGCGAGGCTGGTATCCTTAGGGGCCCTGCAATAAATGGGCACCACTATGAGAATGTAACATTTCCCATAGGATTTGAGGGATTGTAACAAAGGTTACGATTCAAATTCGTGTAATGTGTGACATCAGTTCTTTTTCCAATCAGAATTTCTATACTGAGTTGACTGTCAAAACTTTGGTGGTTTATTCAATTCTTCAAAGATAGTTAATTAGGGAACTTTTCAGGGGAACAACGGAAGATCTGTTTCCAGTTTTCTACAAGGAAAAAGCGCTGACGCCGTTACAAAATGTCGTCATGTTTTCCACAAAGTAAAAGCACCTGACGCCGTTACAAAATGTCATTTGTTATCTTTTACATTACGTTCGTATGTAAAGGATGCGTTACGACCACATCTGTTTATAAACACGCGGAAATGGGTTATGAAATTTTTTATTTACTTTTAAAACTTCATGTTCAATGGTCTACCCTGCTGGCAGAGGCGTTAATTTGTTAACTTCCCCTACGGTCCACGTAAAAATAAAGTCCTCTGCGCTCGGCCTGTTGAATCTTCTTCGAGCATGCTCGGCCTGTTGCTTAGAAACAAATTAGTTCTCGGTAGTACTCGGCCAACTTTCAACTTGATTGTGGGCTCACACTTGGTCTTCCTATATAGCTTAATAGGATGCGTGCGCATAAAAACGTGTTTAGAGCNACCGCTGGTTGTGAAGGAGAAAAGCAAAGGCTACAATAAATAATGTTACTTCAAACAGTACGCGAGCTCAAATCTTTTATTTGAGTCGTTTGCATGATAATTGGTTTATTTATTTAAGTAAAGTTTATTTTCCTAAAAGAGCAACACCACTTAGGGCCATTAAAAGTGATAATAATTATCGTGAAATTCCTTGTTTACTTAACATCTTAACCTTAAGCGCACGTAGAACAGCGAGAATCAATGACTTACATGTATCATCAATCGCGCAGTGTTCAAGGTATTGTGCAGTGATATCAGTTTAGCTCTAATTTTGACCCTTAAGCAGTATGATTTGGTCCAGAGCAAAAAGGGCTGAATACTCAGTCTGCGAGTTAATGACAAATTCCTTAAGTTGTGGACTTGCTCCTCTGCGTTATCTCAGAGATTCATCCACAAAAATACGTCATGAGGCAAAGTCACGTTGTATTTTGTTAATAAAACCCGATAGCAATCAGTAGACAAGATAGCTATTAGACGTTTAGCACTGTAATGACTACATAACTACCACTACTTAAATGGAGTTTATTCAATTCTAAAGGAAATCCTTTAGAAAACCAACGGAAATCCTGTTCAACTGATACCCGTCCAAAACAAAAAATTTACAGAAGGCAATAAAAATTCTATCGTGGATAATCGCCGCGGAATATGCCGTAAAACTCTCAATTAGATTACTCTAAAAAATCTGAGGTCAGAAATACCACATCGTGGTAGTTCCAGAGAAAAAAAAATTGTATGGATGAAAACCTGAAGATATATAGTTGTTAAAGACTCATAAACTGACGAAGTCGTTCTGCGGTTTTGGAAGTTTTTTTCCCCCTGTTTTGCGGTTCTAATAGACCCTAATCCCCATCGTCAAATTTTAATCTGTAGACGAAAAAGAGTTTTAGATCCACGTTTGTTTCTGAATACGTGTGACCGCAAACCGCTAGGAATCACGTGGCAAGACTCTAGCGGTCACGTCGACCGTTTGCGGACCACATTTGTACTTCGAATTCGGGCAAGGCAGTTTCAGGTAGGTCAATTCCCTCGACCTTTTCCTTCTTCCAGTCCGAAAGTTCTCGCGTATGTCCTGTAAATATATGTCAAACGAAGTCTTTTGTTTTTAATCAATTCGTTTGGGACGCTAGAAAACCGAACAATTCACCACTTTTTGTGTCAACTTTGAAAAAAAGGACCTCCGTGGG